TACTAATTATATTTATTTATTTTTTTATATTACTAATATTACTATCTTTTTTTAATATTTTATATATTACTAATATTACTAACTTTTTTTTTTAATATTTTATATATTATTAATATTACTAATTTTCTTTTTTAATATTTTATATATTACTAATGTTATTAACTTTATTTTTATATTTTTAAATATTATTACTAACATTGTTATTATTACTTCATTTATATATTATTAATCAATATTTTAAATATTACTTATTGTATTTCTTTTTTATATTTTGTATTATCATTATGTTAAATAGTATTTTTATTATTATAAAATATTTATATTTTATTATTGTCATTATATTTTATTTAATAAATAAACAAATTTAAATTAAAGTAATTTTAAATTATATATTAATAAATTATAAATTTGGTAATATTATGAGAAATTAATTATATAAAATTATATATATAAATTATGTATAAAATATACTGATAAACATATATAATATACGTAATTTGCATATATGAATTACATATACAATATACTTAATTTACATATTTTTATATATCTATAATTCTGTCTTTTTCCTTATCTTTTATACGTAATAATTACATATATATTATACGTTATTTATGAATATCAAAAACATATTATTTTTGTATATAATTCTGTATACAAATTTTTTATAGGGTTAGGTGATCATTTGGAGAAACATTGTTTTGAGACTCTATTATTTCTGAAGGAACTGTTGGTTTTAATATGTCAGTTTTATTAGAAACTTGAATATGAGTTAGTCTTATTAGAGGTTTATTAGCATTCATCTCATCAGCTAAATTTATCAAGAAATTTAAATAAAGCTATTGTAATCTATGTATAGTAGCCAAAAAAAGTATTTGCGATTTTGTAATTTTAGTAAAATTTTAATTTAAAATTCAATTTTTAGCATAAAAAGAATATTGTAATGTTACATTGTCGATAAATCCTTAAAAAAAATATTATAATGCTAAAATTATTAATAAACTTTGTAAATTGAATGCCACTTTAATAGAAATGTAAAATGGTTAAAACTAGAGAGCTTAAACTAGAAGAAAAAGGTGTATTGTTGCTTTGTTAAATAATAATTTTAAAAATGCTCAAATTGCAAGACAAATGAATATATCTGATAGCACAGTTCATTCATTTATTAAAAAATATAAAAAAATGAGAAATATTGAAAATTTATCATGCCCTAGGTGGTCTCTTATAGCTACACAATGACAAAAATGATTACTTATTCATAAAGTAATGAGAAATAAACATGCTTCTTTATGAAAACTAACAGCCAATGTTAGTTTGAATGTTTCAACAACAACAGCTAGTAATTATCTTTATAAAGCTGGTATTAAATCTCATGTAGTAGCTAAAAGCCATTTATTTCAGATGAAAATCAAAAGAAACAACTTATTTGGTATAAAGAACATATTAATTGGAATATATAAGAATGAAATAATATTATCTGGTCTGATGAGTCAAGTGTAGAAATTGGTGAAAGTTCTCAACGTGAATTAGTATGAAGAAAAGTTGGTGAACAGTATAATTTAAACTGTTTGGGAATTAACTCCGATAAAAAAACCACGTGCACATTTCATGTTTTAAATCATCAGCTTTATTGATTGCATTTAACTATTATGTAGATCAGTGCTGGGAAATTGGACAGTTTTGGGCACATTTTTCTGTCCAAAACCTTGTCCAAAATATTTAAAATCAAAAAATGTGTCCAAAATCCAACACTGATGTAGATGTCTATATAGCATTTTAATGTAATATTAAAACCGGTCAATCTATGCTGATACTATTACTACTATTACAATATCAGATTGAATGTTACTGTGTAATGTAAGTGCCCGAAGTACATAATATGGAGCATGCTGCATACATATATCCCATCACTTTTTCGGAGTTCGTAATTGTTCCAATTGCACTGTTCTTCAGAATCATTATCGATAATAATAATTGGATCGTTGTTATTCATTTTGAAAATATTTTTCGTGAAAAAACGCGTTAAGTTGTAAATAATGGTAGATATTAGAGCAACTAAATTGATAGCTCGCCCAGCATTATCTACAAGACACTACAAGCATTAATGGTTTGTGAAGCAAAAATAGGGAAATAGCAACAACAATAATGATGATGATGAAAACACATACTTTATAAATTAAAATTGCCTACATAGAAGGATCACCTCGCCAACATCAGTATCTTTGATTGGCAGTTCCTCTGATGCTCATTCATCTCGGAGAGGAATTTCTTCGCTCGGGGGAGATTTGGACTTGGATGAACACCTTCCTCTCGAAAATCTAAAATTCCCCACCAAGATAGATATAACAAAGTAAAAATAATTAAACATTAAGCAGCAAGCAAACGGATGAGTGGTAAAAATAGCTTACTTGGTATGAGCCGCAGCATCGTTACCGCGAACGGTTTCAGTAATGATACTAGCGACATCAACATACTCGTCAAACGACATATGGGTTGATTGCTAGGAAAATCAGGTTCCGGAGAATTTTTTAACATTTGATGTTATTAGATTCAAATGCATTAAGTTCTTAATTATAGTCAAATTTTTTCTCGGAACCTGAAATCCTCCCATATCAAAAGTAACCTTGGTCCTTTTGGAATTTGTGGTTTCGTCTTCTGTCATTGAAGTAACATTAAGAGTACGTTCCCCGTGAACATTTCCGATTGCTGTTTCCGAATCCTCAGCATTCGCCTCACACAACAAGTGCTGTTTAATGACTGTTTGTTGAAATTTAAGATTTTGGGAGAACGTTTCTTTTGTTGTGTTCAATATATGTTACGTCTAAAATGAACCTTTCAGTATACCAAGAATGGATGCGATTAAGTGTCAAGTCAACTAACGTTCAGTATTGATTTGATCCTTCAGATCGTTTAGTTTGCCCTTCTCGGATTACATCCAAATTATTGTTAGGTGTTGTCAAACAAAAAGGTCATTAAGATTTTCGAATATATCAGACAACTTACTTGTCGATGTGCTTTTTCCTCACTAAATATGCTTCCAATAATATAAAATTTGATTGGAAGCTTCCAATCCAAATGAATTTATTAAAGAATTATGCCTTCAACCCTTCCGAGTAATCGGAATTCTAAAAATTTTATAAGCGAGGGGTTTTCCACATCTCAGAAAGCTATATTCATAAAACAGGTTATACTATATTTCAATATTATGATAACAAAAGAAAGCGGGTACATTTTGTTTATCAGGATATTTTAAGGCAGTGTTGGGCAATTGGACACTTTTTCTTATGTCCAAAGCCTTGTCCAAAACTATTAAAATCTAAAAATATGTCCAAAACCATCACTCTTTTAAGGCGTTACGGCAATCGAGAAGCAATTAGTTAGACGAGAAGCTAAGTACAACGTGAAGCGCGAAAAAAAAAAGAAATATAAATATCGCGTATTCTGATCTCACGTGATGACATTGTAGATAGATTTACCCCAGTATAGCATGGACTGGGGTGTGCGATATCAGTTGAAAATAGGTTACGCAAACAACTGTATTAATTATTAATTCATACGATTTAATTAAAAATATTTATAACGATAATATAAGTTATTAATTTAATAATTTCTTTGCTAAAATGATTTGAAATTTAATATATTATTATGAAATTAATTTCTAGATACATTTGATATTAACCATTGCCTCGCTTTAACTAAATCCACATTCTCAACTTCTATTGCTTTAACGCAAAATTCAATAGAAAATTCTCCTTCGGTACCTTGACCATCCTTTCCTTTTATAGAAAATTTGCCAAGTAAACGTTTTTCATGGTAATTTCATCCACACAAATGTAAAAGAAAAGAATGAACTGCAAAACACTGTGTATTAATAAATTAGTTTTTTGAAATAATTTCGCATTTTTCTTTATGAAATAAAATGTTTAACGATCATTTTCTATAAAGAATATTTTTAATATTCGTGTCCATGTTTTGATTCTGATTGATTGGACAGATTATTTTGTAATTTTCTACACGCAAGAAAATTAAGTTGGATGAATTCAAATAATAATTAGTTGAACGAGTAACTAAGTTTGGCGTAAATCCAAATAATAACAGATAATCAAAACTTATATTGTTATATAAATAAGAAGTTTCGAAATGTATACAAGATAAATTGCATAAAAATAATGATAATTAGCTTTATGACCATACCAATTTTATATAGTTTATGCACCCCGTGAAATAATTTTAAGTAACGGTTATTATATTCTTGTAAAATAAAAAGTTTATTAGTTGAATAGGATAATCAATTTTAAAAAAAATGCTATATTTAAAAGAAACATTTTTCAATAAATTAATTACGAGATCACGTGACCGTAACCAAGATTGTTTGTTACAAAATATCAAAATATAGAACATTTAGAGGAAAATTAATTTATTTGTCCTGCTGTGAATTATAATTGTTTCAATGTAAAATGAATGCAAACAAAATCAAAACGAATGATGAATATTATTAATGCACTAATTTGAATTGCTAAATTAAATAAATATTTTTATTTTTTTATGGCTAGATAATGACAATTTCTGAGGAGGAGGAACCTAAGTGTTTGTTTTTTGTTGTAACTTTTTGACTGAAAGTATTTCGCAAGTTGAAAATTCGATAAATAAAATTGATACGTACGAAAGCCACGCGTACCATAATCCAATTACGATGACCAACCCAGCATAACTGTCTTTTTCTTTTTCATTTATAAAGATGTATCTTTAATCTTGCCTAATCAAAATCCACCTTTTACCTCATTTTATTCCATTTTAAACTAGATTCAGAACGTTTTGAAGAATGATCGGAGGTTCAGAAGGAAATAGATTATCATGGAGACAGAAATATATAATGTTCTCTTTAAAGTTAATTAGTGATGCACATGGCAATGCTGGTATTAAGCATCATCTCGTTTTGATTGGTTTGTCTTCTTTTTTATCATTTTTAGAAAAACTAAAATTAGAATGAAATTCACAAAAATCATTGGGTATCAACATATGCGCCATTACCTTGTTGTTTATTCGTGTTCATGGTAAAAAAAAAAAAAATTCATTCCAATGAAGAATTCGAAATAAAAAAGAAAATGAAATTTTTTTTTTGTTTCGTTCGACATGACATATCTGAATTTTCAACACACGTCATATTCTCGATTCTTTTAAAAAAAAACAATTTATCCGACATAATAATAACTTACATGTAACTTTTAACATAGCATATTCGGATAAAATAAATGTCGCATGATTGCAATATTGCAATATGATAATTGATATTTACCTAAAAGGGAAAAGTTTAATGTCTGACAATTCCTAAAAATAAATTACACAAATAAATTTCTTAATGGCTCAACTTTTCCAAAATATATCATTTCCTTCATTTTTTTCATTCTTTTTAACAAATTTTCTTTCTTCCTTTTGCATTTGTTCTTTATCCTTTACCAAAGTCATTCTTTATAATACTTATCACACACAAAGATGCTATCCTATCAGGCTCCAGTTCAGCAACAGTCAACTCAAATGATGCAAACGACGAGGTCAGGTCGACCCTTTGTCAAGGTATGATTTTCATGTATTGAAACAATAAAAATTACCTACACAATAAAATCTTAATAAGATAAAAAAAAAATTTCATTTATTTGTTAGGATATACATGATTTGTTTTCAACTTTAATAATCTCATTACCGATGGAAACGCATCGAAATTTGTTTAAAAGTTATGCAAACTCATTTACAACGGAAGAAACCATAGCGAATTTAGGATCATTAAAATTTACACAATCAAATCGTAATCAAGATCCGAATAATCCAACAAGGATCATTACCACCACCACCACCACCACATTTAGCATGGTAAAAGATATGGCAAAATCTATATGTCAAACATTTCAGGATGCAAGGTTATTTGAAAATTTAACTGATTCTAATAATAGAATATTTAGGGATAAAGGTGTTTATGGTCTTACCCCAAAAGGGACATACATATTAGAAAGATTTGTATCAAGAAATGGTATAACAGCCCCTCATTTGGCAAAAATCTTTTCTTCACAATCAATTCAAATCAGATTATTCGCCTTGGAAAGAGATCCCGAAACCGATTCCATTAATTTATCAAAACAAAATGTTGAATCGGTTTTTAGAAGGTTTGCCGGTCCAAGACCGAACTTTAAAATTCCAAATGAAATAGTTTCATCAAATGACCAAAACATCTTTTCGGTTGATCGTAATCTTGGTATTGAAGTTAAAGAACGTTATATTAATAATAAATGGTATCATTTTACATTTTCCGGAGCGAACGTTTGTGACTGGTTATGTGAGTTTACAACCTTAATCTCAAAAGAGGAGGCGATGAAAGTTGCGACCGAATTCATTCGTCTAGGTTTTTTAGAACCTATTAATAGTAAAGTGAATGATACAAAAAAAAGTACAAAAAGGCGAGATCGTTCATTATTTAAATATTCAAAATCCACGTATTACAACATCACGGAAGAAGGTCGACAACTCGCTTTATGGGATGAACATCTACCAGCAAAGAAAGATTCAGGAGTATATTTATCACCACAATTAAATGATGGTAAATCACAAAGAAGTTCATTAATTGAGAATAATCAAGTGATTAAAGAATCAAATACCAAAAAACTTCAACAAATTTTAGATGACTCAAATTTATGTTCACTATTTATGAACTTTTTAAAATCTACCTTATGTGAAGAAAATTTATTATTTTTATTAGACGTTCAAAAATTTAAAATTAGATATAATGCCGATGTTAACGAAGATGGAGAATGTAGAGATCCCAAAGAACAATTTTATTTAATTTCCGATGCTTTTAAAATTTATAATACTTATTTAGCTCCCGCTTCTCTTAATGAACTTAATATCGATTTCAATTTAAGACAATCGATGACTCGATATATGACTTCAATTGCCTCGGGACATAATGATAAGCGGCCGAAATCTACTGCTTCGGATCAACCACCTCAAAAAAATCCTATAACCAGTCATTTATATGATGAGATTCAACATGTTATTTTCAGTTTGGTGGCTACCGATTCTATTCCTAAATTTATTAGAACTAAAGAATTTTTAGCCTATACCCAATGAGAAATGAGATATTGTATAAATTTATAAATTTTATTATTTTTATTACCTTACATTTATATATTAAATATAAACTAAATTTTATTAAAGTTGAAAAAAAAAAAAACCTAAAAATTTTTGATATGCGGACGATCTACTTAATTTTAACCGATCAAAATTATTTAGGAAAGGATTCCCTAACAGGAGATTGATAATGCATATACGACTAAAAAATTTTTAATTCAATTAGAAATCTTGTATTAAAAAAAAAAAAAATAAAATAAATAAAATCTTCTTAACCTAAATACTCTTGTCTTCAAAGACGTTATTTTTAATTAAAAATCTTTCGTTGGCGTGTGCATAAATCGCATAGAACGTTACATATTTCACGTATTTATCACGTGACTTGGTTGTTTCTTCGGGATTTGAAAATAATATCACCGTCTTAAACTCATCATTAATTTGAAAACCCAGGGGAGTGCAAAACGTACGAATAAACAAAATTTTTTTCATAAATAAGATTGAAAGAAAACTCGTTTATTCCCCCCCCCCCCAAAAAAATTATTATACGTTATAATAACGTTAAAGTATCAAGCAAATTCAAAATCATTATATTTCGTATTTTCAAGGTCAAATATTTGAAATGTTTTTTGAATTTCAAGCGGAATCCCTAAAAATAGATAAAATTTGTGATCGACCGTTAAATTCTATTTCTATCCCAAAATTGTTTTGAATAATTTATTCAACTTTTAAGATATAGAAATGAAAAAAGGTAAGAAAGTAAAAGAACCAATACGTAAAAGTATTAGTCCTATTGAAAATGACGAGGTCTCTTCTGTCGAGGAAGAAGAAAATGAAAGTTTGCAGGAGGATACAGAAGAGGAAACAGAGGAGGATACAGAAGAGGAAACAGAGGATACAGGAGAGGATACAGAAGTAACAAGTTCAGAAGAAGAAGAAATAAATACAAAAGATCAGAAAAAACGAAGAAATAAACATGCGTATGTAAAAAAAAAATAAAAAAATAAAAAAATTAATCGAAACACTTCCATTAAAATTTGATGTTTTTACAATTATTTAGGCCAATGGAAGTAACTTCAAAAAGACCTGTTAGTAGGTTTAGACAAATAGTGGAGGTTTCTAAATCTGTAAATAATTATATAATCTTTTCAAAAAACTTTCCAAACGATCCATTTATTTATAAAATTATTTATTCATGAAACGATTAGGTCAAACTTAGAAGAGATCCTAGATTTGATAGTTTATCAGGAAAGTTTAATGAAGATTTATTTGAAAAATCATATTCATTTTTAGATGATTATAAAAAATCAGAAATTGAACTCGTAACCAATCAAATGAAAAAAGAAAGTGATATCAAGGAGAAATCTAAATTACAACTATTATTAAATAAATTAGTAGGTTACAATTTCCTAATTGTTATAAAATGTTTTTATTAAGACTCTTAATTTCATTTTTTCTTTTTTATTAGAAATCAAAAATTTCTCACGAACATAATCTTAAACGTAAAAAAGAGTTAAAACGTGAAAGAAAAAAGAAAGAATCGGAACTTGTTGCCCAAGGGAAGAATCCATATTATTATAAGAAATGTAAGCATTGTTTATGTTTTAATCTCAACTAATATATATTTACATTTTTTTTAATAAAACGTTTTCTTTACAAACATATTTTTATTAGCTGATGAGAAAAATCTTGAACTTCTTGATAAGTTTGATAATTTACAAAAGTCGGATCCTAAAGTATTAGAAAAAGTAATAGAAAAACGTAGGAAAAAGAATGCTTCAAAAGAACATAAACGTGTACCATTCAAAAGGAGAAAGGTTACTTAGGAAAATTATATTTGGAAAATACTAACTGGATCATTTTTTGGTATTATTATATTAATTATATTACATTTCACACAAATTTTTCGTATATTCAATTAATATATATATATATACTTGAATATTTTACAGTTAACATATAAATATTTTTATTGAATCTATTGTACTCTATGAATTTAACAAATAAACCTACTTACTATAAGAAAGTAATACAAAAAAAAGAAAAGAAAAGAAAATGACTTCTTTTCGAATGTCCAAAAATAATTACAATAAAACATAATTACGATAAAATACGAACAGAATTTCTTTCATTATCTAAATATATCTCGGGCTTTCGATCATTAGATTTTTCTTTAATCTCCAAAAAATTCACACCAATAAATCCACTAATCACCATAATAACTCCAAAACAATACCCTGTGCTCATGAAAAGTCCTTTGAAAAATATATCACCAAGCAATGCCAAAGGTATCGTCAAACTCAACCCAAGCGTAACAATTAGCGGTGACGTCATCAAAACGGCAATAAGCCAGAGATAGTCAGATAAGAAAGTACCTATCAATGCATTTATTGCAACCATTATCCATATGGTATTATTTGGTGGAAGTTGAAAGTGCTCTAACCCAGTAAAATGCAACAACCAAAATAATGGCCATAGCAAAATCACATTGAAAATCCCAACAAATCCAAAGAACAAAGGCATATTAACACGAGATTCGTTTTGAATACGTAATTTCAATAAAATAGTGTAACATCCATAAAAGAAAGCTCCAATTAGAGCAAGAATGTCACCAAACAATGAATTAGTAGAAGTATGTAGACTATCATTAGGTTTATCGAATGTATCTTCATTTGAGATCAAGTAAACACCAACGAAGCTTAAATGAAAAAAAACAAAAAGTTAAAAATAAAAAAAATGAAAATATTTAAAAAAGAATTTAACTAGATTAATTACATAAAGGTTTTACCTTATTACAACTGCTACAAATTTAAGGAATGTAAACTTTTCAACTCTAACCAAAGATCCAATAACTAAAGTGAAAAAACCTATGGAAGAAAGTTGAAATATTAAAGGGATTTATAAATAAATCTAACCATTAAATATTTTAATAACAAATACAAACCTGAAGTTGAAGATAAAATTGTGCTACTTGCGACAGATGTATACGCAAGGGATGCATTGGTACTCCAATTGGCTAAGTGTGATATAAGAAATTAGAATCCACCCAAAGTAACTTATTTTCTAAAAAAAAAAGAAATTTGAAATACCTGCAAACCATAACATACAAAAGGTAAATCCTAACTTGGCAATCTATAAATAACAAAAACCTTGAATATCCATGAGTAAATAATTGTAAAATCAAAAATATTAGTTTATCAAACCTGTCGAGTTGACAGATTTTCATCATCGCGCATGGACGAAAGTACATCATGAGGGTCGATATGAGGATGATTATCTGATGTTTCATGATGTGATCGGATAAAAGAAGAATTATTGTCATTAATTAACCCTAATTCAAGAGATGATGAGTACATAGAGTGATCCTCGGGTTGTAATGTAATATTTTCTTGGAAATCCTATTTATCAAAACGACGAAGAGTAAATAAATAAAGGAATATGTCAAACATCAAAGAGGGTTAAAAGTAACTTACATTCATACCATCATTTGAATTCGATGAAGCTTCACTTGTTGAATCAAATGAAGAACGTGATAGAGCATCATACAACGCGTTGTTAAATTCAATTATTCTATTATAAGAATCAATACGTAATATTAATAACTATTTATTAATTCAAAAAATTCAAAAAAAGAGTCAATACCTTTGTTTATCTATAGGACGCTTCTTATTACAAAGAAAGTATAATAAATATAATGAAAAGGAAGCTGTATTTACATATGTAATGGCGAATGGTTTATTATAATCTTGTTCTCCAAACATATTCTGAAATTAAGTTAATATGAATACAGTTTAATTAAAATTATATATATAAATATATATTTCAATTTTTAAAGGTTTCCAAACGAAACTTACGTTCATTAAAAACGAAGAACCGACCCAAATCAGTACCACACAAAGTAATACTATGATGCCGACAGTATAACGTTGTCGTTCTGTAAAAACCATGTTTGATGTTATTTGGTTATAAAAACCTCAACGACAGAAACGGGTGACGGAACCACAATACTATGGTGGCTTTGAAAAATTAATAGCCAATCAAATGTTCACCATGAGAATTTATAATATAATTACTATTTTTAGTATAAATACATGTGATGACTTTTTTGGCATTGTTTCATCCTGAACGTTATATTAAACAAACATGTCTTCTCTCACTCGAACTTTTAAGAATTTTCTCAAAATAGGCCCTAGAGATTACTTGAGACACATGTTGTATATTGGTGATACTAGAGCTGGAACTCTTGTCGGAATAGATCAATTTGGAAACAAATATTATGAAAATTTAGAGGAGATTTTTGGTACTTTTTTTTTTTTTTTTTACATCTTAGGATGATCGCGTGTTAGAGAGCGATCGTGTAAATTCGGCTTACTTTAGTTTGTTGAGCGAGGGTTAGGCCAGTAAATTCTTACCAATAATTTTATTTATAATAATCTCATTGTGCTCATTTTTAAATTTCTTTAATTTCAATTAACTAAGGTCGAGATCGATGGGTAGATTATGCCAAACACTATGGTGATGCTAGTCAAATTCCTCCTGAATGGTAGATATTTGAATCGTCTTTAGTTTATAACGATATTCGAGTTATCCTGTTTCCTAATATTAAATCTATTGAATAGGCATAGCTGGATTCATAAGATTACAGAGGATCCTCCTACTATCGATCCTCCACCACGTCCAAAGTACCTCTCCCCTTTTAACGAGAATTTTACAGGAACCCGTAAGGCTTTTAAGACCTATAGTACAACAGGTCCTAAAATCCTCTCTTGGGAACCAAAAGTTCATCAAAGGATAGATTAAACCTTTTGAGTAAAATCAAGATTTGACTTTTAATAATTAGTTATATTTATTTGGTCCTTTTCTTATTCGAAAAGAATCGTGAGATCTTTTGATTTATCTTTTTTTTTTGAATATTGATCGATTTATGTTTTACAAAAAAAAAAAATATAATCAACAAAATCAAAAAAAAATCTTTACATCTAGTAAATAATCAGCATCTATGGTGGAGATAACGAAATCCATTAAATTAATAATCTAATAATAAACCTTACTTAATAAAGATGAGATGCAAATCCGACTACATATTTTAAAAAAAATTATGATGTTTAATTTAGCTATATGTTGTGACCAAATGATCATCTATTTCTGTGCAAGGGCGTGGAAAAAACATATGTTTTTTCTTTTACAATATGATTTCGTCTGTATTCTGATGTCATTGACCCCTTCAAGGAAAAGGGCGAAAATTCCTCGCCCAGTTTCACAAGTAATTCAGCCGTACCCCTAACATAGATCAATCAGTTAACCCTCTCCCCCTCCTATATTTATCCATTTATCCCTGTCTATCTTTTTTTCTTTTAAGTTCCGATTTCTGCGTGTTCTGTATGTACTTACATATAACGTGGATACTGTAAAAACTTTAACAAAGAATAAATAAATATTTATCAATTTTATTACCTCACATTTTGTCCGTATTTTTTTTTTTTTGCCTGTTCCGAGCACTTAATTGAAGAAACTCAACCAATAATTACAAATGGCTTCTCGTAAGAAAGTTCTTTTGAAAGTAAGTTTCTTGTCACAACGATCTACTTTAGTGACAATCCCCGTTTTTATTGTCTATTTATTACTGATTATTAATTTTTTTTTGCTTTTTAAATTTTTTTTTTTTAAAGGTTATTATCTTAGGTGATAGCGGGTACGTCGGTTAAGCAACTAAACTGATTAAAAGAGGTTGAAATAACAAATTGTTATTTCATGTTTAATAAACGTCTAAATTTATATAAACTAGTATTTTACATTGAAAATAAGATCTGAACTGGACGTCAGACCATTAAATAAAAGGCTTCTCAGTATTAATATATAATGTTCTTTTATTTATAGTGTTGGAAAGACATCATTAATGAATCAATATGTCAATAAAAAATTCAGCAACCAATATAAAGCTACTATCGGCGCTGATTTCTTAACTAAAGAAGTAATGGTTGACGACCGTCTTGTAACGATGCAGGTTCGGATATGATTATCTTTTATTTATTTAATAGCCTATAAAAGTGTTGGATTAATAACTTACAATCTTTTATTTTATATAGATTTGGGATACCGCTGGACAAGAACGTTTTCAATCCCTGGGAGTTGCCTTTTACCGTGGAGCTGATTGTTGCGTTCTTGTGTATGATGTTAATAATTCCAAGAGTTTTGAAACGTTGGATAGTTGGAGAGATGAATTCTTAATCCAAGCTTCTCCACGAGATCCTGAAAATTTTCCATTTGTTGTCTTGGGTAACAAAATCGATATGGAAGAATCAAAGAGAGTGGTATTTTTCTGCTAGAATTTATTTGTATGATTAACTTACTTGACAGCCATTATATTGTGATTCTTTAGATTTAATAACGGTCTTTTATGAATCATTAGGTGTCTCAAAAACGGGCCATGACTTGGTGTCAATCCAAAGGCAACATTCCTTATTTTGAAACAAGTGCTAAAGAAGCAATCAACGTTGAAAATGCATTCCAAACTATTGCGAAAAATGCTTTACAACAGGAGGCTGATCCAGATTTGTATGCATTATAAGGATTATATACTTTGTAAATTTCAAATTTTCTTATCTAATCTTTTTTTTTTTTCACCGCAAAGCAGCTATAATGAATTCCCAGAGGCAATTAAGATTGATAATGATAATTCCAAATACGATGCTTGTGCGTGTTAAAATGCTATGATAAAATGTAGGATGGAATTCTTTGTAGCCTTTAGCTAAAGGAATAGGAAGGCGTTTATGCTTCATTATCCTTGGGCAATTTAAATTAAGTGATTGGGAGGGCTCCAAAGGGTTGTTTTAAATTAAAAACTGCAAAAAATTCCATGCTTTTATTTTTTTCATTGAACTATTATATATATATATATACCATCAAATTTTTAAAATAGTTTGCTACGAGTATAATCAAACAAATCTTTTTGCTTTATTTTATTATTTGTATTATTGCTTGTTACTTCTCACCTTTTATTAATGATTTTTATATTATTTACTGGACGTTCATTGCGGGAGAGTCAACATTATACATTCACACACATTTTATCTTGTACAATTCTTATTTTTTTTTTTTATTTTTTTTTTTTTTTTTAAAAAAAAAACTATATAACTTTTGATGTTTATTTGGTTTTGGTCGTGGGCGAATAAAAATTTTCAATTATATTCAATCCGTATGGGAATTATATTTGATTTTGTTTAATTGTTATTATTTAGTTTATTTTATATATCGTGCTAGGTAATTCATTTACGAGTGAGATTATTTAATATCATTAATAATGTAAAAAAAAACTGCTAAAAATCGTAAGTTACACGACATACCGATCATGTGATCACAAAAATTATTAAAACGGGAATCATTTCATTATCGCAATTTCATTTTTAATAAAACATGTCAACTTTTTCACCTGCAGGAACATCAACTAACAGCAACATTCCCGCTGGGAACTGGCAAGGCGATCTACTTGTCAAATTGTTAGTGAGAGATAGACGAGAAAAAGCATTTACTGATTTTGTTGAGTCTTGTAAGTTCTTTAAGTAGAAAACGTCACTGCGTAGTGAATGAAAGAAATATGTTACAGTTGTGCTTAGATAAGTTCACGTAAAGAAAGAATAAAATGGATCGATTTTTTTTTTCGTGTTAACTTGATCCCAGTGAAGTTATTAGCCAAAAATACAAGTAATCCTAGTCAAATTTGCATTAATTGCATCCATTGCATCCATTGTTGCATATTTCTCATATCTGAATTCCAACTTCCATTTATAATAGAATGATAAAATTTGATAGATGTAACTTTAATGAATTAAATTATTATCAATTTCGAATATCTAGACAATTCTCTCGTTCAGAAACTAGGGAAATTCGCGGACAGGAATGCTGAATTGGAACAATCAGAAAAGTCTGCAACAGAAAAGCATTCAAATTTATCACGAGAGGTAGAGATCTTAAGAGAACAAGGGTATTTGATCTTTCCTTTTTGTTTATTTCTTTCCATCATTTTTATATATAAATTACTTATATGAACATATATTCTTGATTCATTTATCTTTGGTAGGAGTCCATTAAATCAAAAGAAAACTGCAGAGTTGGAACAGCAAATACAAGCTCTCAAAGAAGAACGTACAGAATTGTATAAAACGCAAGGAAAGAATGCTCAACGTTTATTAGATTTAAATGATAGTTTACGAGTACATGAGGAAACGGAAAAGAGGAATCAAGAGGAGTATGTTAAATTTTTTCACCCTTAATGTTTTAAACTATTATTAAGTTGAACACTTTATTCTCAGAGTTCAAAGATTGACAGATTCAAATCAAGCGTTAACTGCCAAGGTGGATCTTCAAGTTCAAGTTCTTCGTGAAAAAGATATTACAATACAGGTAAACTTTGATGATAATTTATACATTATTCAAAACAGGTTAATGATTCTTTAAATTTTAAATAAAATCAGTTGTTGCAAGATGAGTTAGCAACATTGCAATTAGAAATAGGGAAAATTGACGAGCGTATGAGAGACTTAGAAAGAGAAAATGGTCAACTTTTACAACGTTGGTTGAGAAAGATGAACGAAGAAGCCGAGAAAATGAATGAGGCAAATCAATTTTATGAGAGGTTTGTCAAGAAAATATATAAAATTTTAGCTTTATAATACGACGATACTAATTATATTTATTTATCTAGTGCTTTGGAGGTTCATGCTAAAGCTTTAGAATTTCAAAGCGGGGTGGTCATTGTTGACAAAGAATTTACTCCGATGAATAATGTACCAAAATCCATCACATTTCCGGAAGCTGGCACTGGTGCTATAAGGTGGTATAAATATCTTATCTCAATTTACCTTGTCATATTGTCAATGATTTTCACCTGCGTAAATTTTAAACTTGGGAGCAACCTCGGTTTTTATTTTAAATAAGCTGTTGAAATATAACGAGTTGGATTCTTTGAAAGTTCTTATTTGATCACAACATTTTATATAATTTAATTCATAATTTTCTATACTTTAATAAATTATTTCTGTTGCAAAGAAATCTTAGTTTAAATCCAAGTTAAATTATACTCTGGTGAAAATCGAGACGCGACAGTTTGTATTATACAAAGAACAATTTTGTTAACCTACAATATTTCTTTTAATAGAACACGAGGAAAAAACTATGGTCCCGTGATAATACCGACAACTTTAACGAAAAAATTTGTAAATATTTATTTCTTGTTGTGTTTTATGCAATTCAAATATAAACGAAGTTTCTTTTATTTCATTAGACACCACATGATGGCGAGATACATTCAATTGTATCATCTTATGATGGAACTATGTATGCCACGGGCAGTGCTGACAAAACTATTAAAATTTTTGATTCTACAACAGGTATTGATATCAACTTTGTGATTTGACTCGTTGTTATCGAGTACGTATTGATGTTTATTATGTTTAGGTCAGGTGAAACAGACGCTATCGGGGTCGATACAATCCGTCATGCATGTATCTTTCAATAATACAAACGAAATGGTCGCTGGCGCTTCAAATGACAATGCTGCAAGATTATGGCACTTAAAAACTGGTCGGATAAGGGTTAGTAAACTTCATTTATTTATATTTATATCGCTTTTCATGTAAAAATCCCATCCCTGTAAGAAATACTTTTTGCTAAATTCGGATTAACATTTTCAGCTCACTTTAACTGGTCATGTCGGAAAAGTTTATTCTGCTAGATTCAATGGAGATTCTACTAAAGTGGTAAGACGTGTTGTGCACTTATGCTGCGATTTAATGTTCGTTTATTCTCACTGTGCTTTTGATATTAAAAGATCACAGGCAGCCACGATCGTACAGTTAAAGTGTGGGATTTACAGAAAGGATATTGTATGTGAATTATTCATTTCTTTCGAATTATAATATCTGTATATTTACTTTTTGCATCTTTATTAGGCATTCGAACGATCTTTTCATTTTCCAGTTGCAACGATGTAGTTCCTTTAGATGATTACGGGTACGTTTTAAGTTTTATATATTATTGGAAACAGAAAATTAATTATTCTCTATATTTTAGTACGACACTTGTGAGTGGCCACTTGGATAATAATTTACGTTTCTGGGATGTACGATCCGGAAAAGATATCAAGGAATTGACTGGCATTCATTTGGGACAAATTACTTCTGTTTCTGTTTCTCCAGGTAATTCGTTATTTTTAAAAAGTTGTACACTATTATTCGAATAATTATTAAATTCTAAATTTTTTTATTTAAAAGATGGTTCCAAAGTTTTAACTAATTCTCGAGATAACACACTCAAGATAGTTGATCTTAAAACTTACGAAGTTGAACAAACGTTACAGTACGTCTGACGTTATTTAATTCAATACATAATTTATTATATTATTTATTCACATTGTTCTATTTGCCCCTAAACGTTTAGCGCTGATGGATATAAAACTGGCGCCAATTGGGCTCGATCTTGCTTTAGGTAAAAATATATTTTTTATGTATCTATATATATATCATTTAAGCATTTTAATTAATACTTATTTTGATGCTTTTAACAGTCCTGATGGAAGATATGTGGCGGCAGGTTCATTAGGTGAATATATTATATAATCATCCTTTATAAGAATGAAAAAAAATGTTTTTTCCTTAACTCTGTATTATTCAAAATATAATTACCAATTAGACGGGACAATTTTCTACTGGAATACCCAGAAATCAAAGTTGGAGAAGACAACAAAAGAACATATGTATGTATTATATCATTTCTTTGATAACTTGTTTATACTGACTTATTTGTTTACATTAGTGCACCTATATGTGGTGTTTCTTGGAGTCCACAAGGTGGACAATTATTTAGTGCAGATAAGGATCGAACAGTATGTATGTGGGCAGGGTTAAGGTGATCCGGATAATTTTATAATATTACTTTGTAATTAAATAATTAATTAATTAATTGAGAGAAAAAAATTAGGATTTAAATATATGGTTCGTTTAGGAGGGAAAACAATTGACATATCATTACATTCAAATTAATTTACTAAACTTTCCCCCAAAAATATATATATATTTAATATATCAAAGAAAGGATGTAATGCATTAGGAAATTACCCTTTAATTCATGATTAGCAATAATAATTACTATTTTGATACTTTAACATGATTGAAGTGATTAATTATTTATTTTAATTTATCATTGCAAATAATGTATTATAGAAGATGATTCGAGAAAGGAGAGAAGTGTATGATAATTTGATTTTTCATTGTAATAGTAATAGAATCTTTATATGTATTTAACTACATATAAATTTTAATTAAGAAAAAGGGAATAAATAAATAAATAATGAATAAATAATATATATTTAAAAAAAGAAAAAAGAAAATCATCAATGTACTTAATGTAATATATTATTGTCATGCCTGTTCATCAACACTCTAAATTTATCTTTAAATTCACAATATTCTATGTAAGTTCCTTTAAGATGTCTTTGACCACTTTGAGGATCAAAAGATTTTCTCGCATGTAACACACGTCTATTAACGAATATAACCAAATCACCAGGTATTAAAGTCAATTCAAATTTCAAGGAAGGATCTTCAATAAATTTACAAAATTGTTGATAAGCTCTATAAAATTCGATTACATTAATTTCATTTTCATCATCATTGGAACCTAAAAAAAATTCAATAGGACCTTGAAAAGGAGGTGCATAATTGACGTTTAAGGTATCATTATCATCGTCAATTGCAATAGCAGGACGATTATAATGCATATGATGACCATTATTTGTGTAATGAAACGTTAAAGGAAATTTTTTTAAGAGATTAAAATAATTAGGATGGTAGAATTTTAATTTTTGGACCGCTTTAAATGAATCGGAGAATATACTTTGACCGCCCGTAACTGAATTTTTTAAGCAATGCAAGAATTGTAACCCTGGTGGTGATTCATAATATCTTTTTTTTTTTTGAAATTAAAATTAATATTACATATTCACATCGTTTTTTTTTTTTAATAAAGTAAAATAAAACCCGATGACTTACAATAAATCCATATGTAAATTTAAATTTAAACTAGTATAAGCGATATTATTGGCGGCTGGTATGGATTTTACATCAAAAAATTTACCATAAATGGTAGATCTGACGGTTCCGATCCTTTCTGCGACATTTAAAATTCCTTTGTCATCATCGTTCGTAGGAACATTTTTAATAAATACTAATCCATAATCCCATAATTGTCTCAAAGAATCGAGTAAAATTTTGTCTGAATTCATATAATCATTATAAGATATCCACAAATTTTGAGAATTAAGAATGGATTTAGAGTCCCATAATATTGGTTTTAAGTGATTATAATGTAATTTTAAAATATTTTGTTTTGTAGAATAAGAATGAAGGAATGAAATGGGATATATGCTCTTATGAGGTTGATGTGAATTATTGTTGTTAAAGTTGTCATTGGTTAAAGGTTGTAACTCCTTATCCCAGGTGATTTCTAGTTTATCTAAAGAGGTTTCGATCGAAATTGGTTTGATATCAAGAGGAACTTCTGAACTCGATAATAACTTTTGACGATTATCTGGATGAACGCAAAGGGGACATTGACAGTTATCTCGTAACCAAATATAATTATAATTTGATAAAGAATTTGAATTGGACCATTTGATTAAAAGTGAAGTTTGATTTTTTATAATATCTTTAATAAGTGACTTTGAAGTTGTGAAATATCTGAGTGAATTTTTTTGTAAGTATCTTTGTTGAAACGATGATAATTGATGAAAATTGAAATAGGTTAAAAAAGAAAAAGAATGTCTCATGTTTGATTATCTTTTATCAAATAAAAAATATTGCTTACTTTTTATAGGAAAATTTAATCTTTATCCGGCAAATTTTTCATGGAATCTGGTAAAAATCCGATAAAAAATTTTTTTTTCCGTGATCTTTGGCCGACACGTGTAACTAACATATAAATCATATGATTAAATAAAATTAATAAAATTGATCCACATTTTTTTTTTTTAAAAAAAAAAGAATGTCTTTATCAGGATCTATAAAATCCAAACTTTACATTTCACATTCTTCAATTACATTACCAAAGTCATGTCATGAAAATATAATTCTAGATCATCCATATAATAATCACTTAGAAATTTTTTTCCCCTCGATAATTAATTTTCCTGAACAAATTCCTAATTCACTTGATAGTGAATTCTTTTATTACAAAGTTGATTTACCTTTATCATGGTTTATTGATACAAACTTTATACAAAATTATGTTAAAGCTGGTAACTATTATGTTATACACAACAGTTAGTTATCCGATTTTCCTAAACGAAAAATGTTAATTTCGTAGGTCGTGTAGTTGCTTTAAGTTTGACCGAAGGGATTGACATTGCAAATGTAATTGCATTAGACTTTTCAGGTATAAAGAAATCTTTATTAAATCATTTTATTCTTTTTTTTCTTATTTTTTATAAAAAAAAAAATAAATTTAACACATTTGACAAACATCTTAGCGTATTTTAATTAGGAAACTTGATATTAAATTTGACAAAAGATACATACGAAGAACTTGGATTAGATGGCCATTCAACGAAATTCGGTCCAAATAAACAAAGATTTGGTAATTGATTATAAAAATATATACCATTTTTTTTTTTTTTTGCCTTAACTTGACGTCGTCTTTACGATTTTTTAGTTGTTCAAATTGATTTAAAAAGAAGATCGTTAATTCCAGGAAAAAAGGGATATGAGAGAATCAAATGGTGTTTTAATAATACGTTAACAAAAAGATTTACGTTTTTAATGTCTTTTGTGAAATCTACCGAAAAAAAGACGTGTGAAATAGATTTTCCATCATCGTTTAATGCAAAAAAACTTTTAGGAAAATTTGATTTTAATCCTATACACGAAGGTATTCTGATTCCTGATTTAAGTATAATTAAAAATATTTCAAATGAATCTCAATGGAGATTAGATGCTGTTGAAATTTACGATTGGATTGGAATGAATTCAATCCAGGCACAGAGGTATTATTATTATTGTTCAATCGAAATAAATTTCTTTTTTTTTTTTTGCATTTCATATTAATATCATTTATTCGATTTTGTTTTGTTTTAGAATTCAATCACACGATCAAGTGGATCCATATATCTCTGTTTATAAACCTCCTGAACCGTATTCGGATGGAAATGGATCATTCATAAAATGGTCGGGTTTCATTCCATCTTCGACCATCAAAGAATTATTTGATTCGGTTTTGTATGTATTTACATTTCCCAATTTTTTTTTTACACGTTACAGGTTCAACATATTTACAAACCAAATTTATTTTATTTTATTTTTTTTTTTTTAAAAAAAAAAAGAAAATTTCTACAAGAAAGTAAAGATGATAAGATTTCATGGGCTATTATTAATGTATGGGGATTTAAAGATTCACCAATTTCTTGGAATAAGCAAGAACACGGATATTTTATGAATGGTGAAAATAATTATAGTTTTATAATTTATAATGATGGGACTTATGTACTTTATCAAGCTCTTGGTACTTACGATACCTATTCTTAATTTTCGAACCTATTTTTTTTTTTTTTTTTTTATTGTCGAATGTTTGTTGTAAAATGGTTTTGAAATTTCTTTCGTGGTTGGGTTGAGATTGTATTTTTCTCGCGTGATGAACTCTTGACAAAAATTTGGTCGTCCTTGCGATCTATCAATAAAATCAAGGTATTTGAAAAATGCCAAAATTTAGAAATATTAAACAATTCCATCACTTTAATTATTTTTAAGTTTAAAAAATGAGAAAAAAAAATTTAACGAAAAAAGAACAAAGGTGAGTGTGGAAATACTACAATTTGAAAAAGAAAATCAGGTCTGTATATTAATCTAATAACAAGTCAAAAATTTTTAAATAACCAGGAAATTTTGGTAAAGTGAATGAACTTTGGCGCAAAACAAAAATTTCGGAAAAACTAAATTCTTTATACTTCTTGATCCGCCATGTCAATCTTTAATCATCAATTCACTCAAAAAATGGATCTAGATATAGACATACCATATTTTTTTTTTCTAGCCTTGTGGGAGAAATTGAAGCTAATGCTCAAAAAGTCAGAGTTGAAGCACAGCCAAAACAACAAATTAAATAAATTGTTAGCTAAAGCCAAGTGATTTCCTCGCATTAACGAAAGCACTAAATGAACCATATTTAGATCAATTATTGTCTTGGTTATTAATGACAGCAGAATCCAAATTATCGACACATGAAATAACATTCACAGCTAATGTAGAAAATAGTCAAGAAAGTCAAGTTCAACCGAATCAAACTTTCCCAATAGCTTTTTCACAAGGACAAGAATCAGCAACACGAACTCAAAGCGAATTTTTTCCATTGAACAGTGTGAAATCTAAAATAAGAAAGAGGGATGGTGCAATTGTTACCGAAGAGAATGAAAAGAATCAAGATAAAGGAACAATTAATGATAAACGACAAAAAGTCAGTACAATAATTGCCGGAAACTACAAGATGATAGCAGATACTAATGGAAATGGTAAATTAAATGTGATAATTTTTTTATTCCAAAAGATTTTTTGGTTTTTAATAATAATTATTATCGTTATTTCATCTGATATCAGATATCACGAGATATAGTATATTCGAAATAAATAACATCGAGAATAACCGAGAACTGGAGAAAATCTTGGCGTTAGTAGAATTTCATCAACTCAAAATCATAGTCGTGACGGTGAGATACTTCAAACGGTAATTCGGTTTGTGTAAAAGATCGGGCACTTGCGAGGATTGTGAAATCATTAAATCACGACGCAAGTTCATCACATGCAAGGAAATGAACAGACGAATCATATCAAAGCACGGATCGGAACTATTTACACAAAGTATGGATCAAATGAAGTATTTAATTTTATCGATCCGATTTTTCGAGACATATTCGAAAAATTACTGATAGCCGTCATCAACAATGAAGATGAAGCGAACGAAAACGAAAATTGGAGAAAACCTTTTCAGGACATTTCGAAATTTTAAAAATTAATGATAATACGATAGATTCTCACATCCAACATCGTTGTCAGTCTATCCCTTACACTCGCTGAAGGGTATTCGGCGATTATTCAACTAAATTAATGATGCAAGTATGAAAGCTTTTAACGCGCATCCAGAATATTATTGTATTTATCAAGATGATAGTAACATTCTTGTCGAAGTGTACATGGGAAGTAAAAAATTTGCCGAAGTTTACAGTAAGTTCTGGAAGACGGCATTATATGAAGCATTTTGGATGACATATGAAAAGCTTGGTTTAAATATTTACGATAATGATAAAACTAAGGTTTTGAGCAATACATATTTAGGTTTATGCAAATAATTCGTTCAATTTCGGTTGATGCACATTTTGATGCTTTTGATCAACCAATTATTTTTATTCTTCTGATGCACAAAATTGAATGAGGGTTTTTTTTGTTATTATTTGCATTTTATGATTGTAATAGTGTAAAAAAATGCGCTTGAATTTTTTTATCTACCATATTTTAGATCGCGAACTTTTGTGGATTCGATGATCAAAATGGCTAATCGGAGCATTATAATAAAAAAATTCTGTAATTATATTAATTGAAAATTAATTAATGCACTTTTAAAACAAAATATTTCTATAACTAAAACTAAATTTAATAAAAAAATGTTTTATTAGAAAGTTAAATAAAATTCAGCTTTATAAGTTATTAGTTGGAGAGATTATTTATAACAGATTTTAGTTATAATTAAACATTAATTCATTATATATTAAAAAAAATATTTTTTTTCCTAACATTTTAAATTGATTAAATATCTCTTGTTCTTGCTTAACAATACATTTTTTTTAGGCTTTGTCTAAGTAAGCTTGTTCATATCATAAATGCTGATCAACATTATTAATAATCGAACTGAAAAAAGTAATGCTGGATGTGGATAATTATAATACGGTAATGTTAAATGAACTTGGTAACATGATCTCAACCTAATTAGGAAAATTAAACATGAGGGAACGAGCATGAATGAGTGAAGTTGAGAAGGACCATTATTAACTTATTAGGTAATTATACAGTACGTCCTGTAACAATATAGTTGTAATCATTTACTAAGTATAAAAATCGAACTAAATCATTTTTCAGCTTTAAGGACGTCTTCAAGTTTTTCCAGAAATATTTTGGACACGCCTTTCCCCACACTTTTCCAAACTCTTATTTGCCGTAACTGAAGAGAAAATTTATATACCGTTCAACAATAGTGACCAGTAACTAGTATTTCTTAGGCGTCCCATGAGGTAACTTCTTTTCCCCTGGAACGGTCTTCGATATCGTTCTCATAACGTTAGGACCAGGCGTTTAGCTATTATTATAAGGGAAGTATCATTTTCTTTTCCCCTTTAATGACCCCTTCCCTTACTTAGATTAGTTTATTTTATTTTTCAAACTGTTTTTATTTAACA